TTTTTGAACTACTGCTTTGTAACATATACGTGCGAACCTGAGCCAACTGCATCGTTGACATGACCCGTTCTCGCTACTTTCAGGTCTATTTAAAGCTAGAAAAAGAAAATCGTGCCAACTTGCTCATCGAGTATACCGCATTCAAAGCTCTGAAAAAGTTATGAGAAAATCTTTTGGACCAACTCTTCAGGACGGTATCCATGGCGATGGCAGTTTCTCTGGATTTCAAGTGGAATGAAGCATCCAAATATGGAGTGTCAGAAAACGACAGAACCTTCTGGAACACCTAATAGATAACGCATGTGAAGGCAGCCTTTGTACGCGTAACAGATTTCTTCAATTGTGCTCCTTGTAACATAGCCCTTGGTAGCACTCTTCACTGTGCACGTTACTCTATTCAGAATAAACCCTCTGCAATTCTTGTTCCCCTGGGGTAAACTAGAAGGTCGGTGCTTTCTAATGGATACATGAGCTCTTTCAAAAAATTGATGGAGTCAAAAATCGCCCCGTTGGACCGTTTTGGGAAAATCGCGGACCGATTTTTCGCAGAGCGCTGGTTTTTTGGCTTTGAACTGTTATAACTTTCTTCAGATTGAACTTTTTGCAATTCTTGTCCCCCTGGAAGAAACTAGAAGGTTAGTGCTTTCTAATGAATACTTCATTTCGTTCCCAAAATGACTCGTTCAAAAAATCGCCCCGTTGGACATTTTTTCATGAATTTTCGGAGCAACTCTTCTGAAAACACGAGTTTTCAACACTCAAACACTACAGCTCTCTTCAAACTCAATTTTATGAGGAGTAATGATACCATGACATCGCACAAGCTTTGTGCTTCATGATGGATACTGAATCTTTTCGGAAGTTTGTAGACAGTTGAATTTTTTTTCCAAAGTTTTCTTGTAAGCCCTTAGCCCTTTAGTAGTCAATCTACCGTAGTGGTCACTTTTTTACTAACTTAGGTCCAGTTTGAAAACATTGGTTCTCCTCGAGAGCATATTTGTGTACGTGAACAGTCAAATATGGACACTTCTGCAGTAGACTCTTCTGCTCTGAGGTGCGCCATGCACTCGTTTGTGGTTAATAGTTGGAGAAGCACTCGAAAGTTATGCCTCTCATCTACGTATTGCGACGTTGACCTTTGCGAATACGACCCCCTCTCCCGTCGGCCAAATACGCCCCATTGGACTTTGACCAACGGACGGTTGACCCTGTTCTATAGACCTCGACGACTGTTTGAACTGGCTGCACCTCTAGGAAGTTGAGTAAGCGCTCGTCATTTATCATCTACTTCCTACCAGCTCCGTATCTCACTCCAAACAAAATATCTCCGTTGCGAAGCAGTAAGACCAACGCCAGCAATGGCCTGTTGTATGACCTCCCCCCTAATACAGCACAGATGCTAGCTGCAACGACACAAAGTGGTTTTATGGGAGCTCTAAAAATAAAGAAGATTAAGAGACGGGTTAGTTGGGAGGAGTTTGAAGCTGTAGAACGCTGCGCGAGGCCTTCCTTTGCCAAAACCTCCGAAGTTACACTTTAGCAATCATATGTCAAAACAATTGAAAAGGGTTTTGATTTTTTTCCTAATCCTTCCTATTATTTTCCACTTTGTTCAAAGTGTCGCAGGATTCTTTGGACAATCCAACACAGGAGTTACCGAATAACTTTTGAACCAGACCCTGTAGGGCAAGTCTATTCGAAAATGGACAGCGTTACTCAACCCACTCGCGACCGCTCGCGCTTTTCGAAAGACGCCCGTTCGGACCAGCGCGGCTTAAAGCGATTGCGAGATTTCAGCCACCGGTGCCTGACATTGCCCTCACTGCCCTTTTTTTGGAAGGATATGAATCTGGAAAAATTCCGCTAAAACTATTTCTACTACTTATTTGGGTGTTATTAACTGTCGTGATCACGATTACGAGATTCACTTCTGGCGGGCGTGGATGCCAAATCGGTGTCAAATAGCATCTACGTGGCAACGTCTGTTCTCACCAAATTAATTGACTACCTACACACTTTTTATTCAGCATCTAGGTTACGAAGACGTTCGTTTTCGGTGCCGGGGCACAAAGTGAATGTGACATTTGCAATCAAGACACTGAATAACCCCATTATGCAAGTTCCAACGAATTTGATGGGAACAGGTGTTGCGCCCTCTCAAAGCCTTTTGGCGCTTATTCAACACCCACCCCAAAAAAACATCATATACGCGATCTCGGCAATGAATAACCCCTGCGAAGTTCCAGGGAAAAAGTTATTCTCTGGCAATATATGTAGGGCCGAGTACCGATGTAAGTGAAATTGGTTCATCATTGAAATCAAAACGAACGTTGATCCCCACTCCCCAGGGCTGCGCAGACTGAGAATTTCTTCCATCAGAATTGCATTTGAAAAGACGTAAACTGCTCACTAAATTTTGGTTCAAATTACATCACTGCGTGGGTTGGAAACATTTAAAACTGCTATAATGCGGTACACCTTTGCTCGCCATGAAGACCAATTCCATCAGCCTTAACACATTCACGCCGATGGCCGCCCATATGGGCTGCCAACAACATGTGCTCCTGGGACGATGGCAGCCCATATGGGCTGCCAACTGATAATCGCTTGCCAGGCGCTAGGAATGGACAGATAGGTGGGCAAACCTCGTAATCGAGTGTAAAATGCTTTTAAATTCCTTCACGGGGAAAGTGAATAAATGCTCTCTTTTCGTAACCACTATTTGTCGTTCTGATCGAAATCCTACTGTTATATGTTTAGATAATCTTTACACATTGATTTTGTGACATTCATGTTTTTGTTCATTTACAAAACAAAATCTGCGGTATGTGGTGAGGCGGCGGCCCACAAAATCGCGTCCGTCCCACGCGACCGAAAAGTGGAAAAGGGGCGTCGTCGTGAATGTGTTAAATGGGGCATAGAGGAGCATTGTCCTACCCCTATCCTTGAGGGCGGAACTTAAGATTGGAGTGCAGCCCATTAGCAAGTGGTAAGTGGTACAAGAATGGAAAAAAAGAGAAACATCTCAAAACCAAGGAATGAGACCCCTTCCTTGTCGTCGATTTTACCGCTGCAACTCTTACTGGTGCTGCCCCCTACTAACGCTTTCACTGCTAAATGGGTAGAGACCTGCTGCAAGCGATTAGGCAATCAGTGAGCGTGCCGCATAGATTGCGGCACGGGGACGGCCATGCTAGAACGGTGGTGGCATATCCTTTGCTGCGAACTGCATGACGATCAGCACCCCTTATGTTAGGGGGTTCGCCTGTCTTTGCGCGAGGGTAGGTTTCCACTTCTTCACCTTCGACCTGATTGTGGAATCCTTCTTTAATACATTGTGTAGTTCTTACTTCTCAGTCCTCTAATTTATGCCAATCTATTGCATCGCCGTTCCATTTTCATGCAGTATTCTTTACCGTATAGTCGTCACCAGTGAACAAGCAAACGAAAAAAATAAATGAACAAATAAATAGAAGTCTTGGAAAATGGACCAAAATCACATATCGATATCACAGTCATTACGATAATGAACATTGATACCGCAAGTCCATTGAACTCCCAAATCTACCAGTGGATACTTGTGCCAACATCCTTCATCACATCCATTGATATGAGAGGTAATGCTACGGAAAGGCGCGCATACGGATTGAGTGAATCCTCACCCCGTTAACCCGGTATGTATCATAGAGGTTTCAAATGTTGAAAGCAAATATTATGTAGTATCAGAATCTTTTCTGAAAGGTACAATTTTATCCACTGGTCTGATTTCGTCAGACCCTGCTCACTTCCATTGGTGTGCGTAGGAGTACGAGAGACTAAGAAAGTTCTACACTACCTGTTCTCTTCAGAGTCCGTCGAAATGGTGTGCAAGCCTTTTCACAAAAGCGAAGAGTAAGAGTAGTGCCATGAAAAACATGTTCAAAGCCGTATCGACGTTGCCAAAACTGCTGATTAGGAGGTGCTTTGAATAACGCTGGGGCGACCATCTCCAGAAAAATGGTCACAATGAAATCACGCAGCTGCTTCCGATGGGCGCACGCATAGTCGGTCGGACGACAGCAACGATCGTAACTGTCGCACAGCATTGGATGCGTATCGATCGTCGGACTTGCCTGAGTATTCGACGATTAGATGCAGTTAGACAGTCAGACAGTTGCGATCGTTGCTGTCGGACGACCGACTATGCGTGCGCCCGATGGCAGAATATACTGTAAGCATTCCGACCACTTTACTTATGACCCTTTATTACAATTGCGGTGCGAGGCAGTGAGCAAAGGCCTATTTCTGCTTAGTGATAAAAATTTGGAAAATATTTCCTCCGCGAGCTTCACGTGGGCGAAGTTGTCGTTACTGACGCAACATGCGCAGTAACGTTATAGCGCAAAGCTGTCAATTTTTGCTTCCCCCTCCTCCCTGCATGTAAACATTCTGTCTGCAGCGTCTGCGTAGGCAAGTTTCCACCAATGTTGTGTACTGTAATTGAAACCTTTCCATACGAAGATCGATAAGCTTTGCTATTTCATAATGTTGCTATTCGCAAGCGTGCAGTCCTCTCACTCTATAGGCGGAATGCATCTGGCGAATGAAAATGAAACGGAAGCGAATTCGTTATCGAGGAATGTGGCATTTCAATAAAACGGTCCAGTCACTGAAATCATCGAGCCCTAACGTTTTCATTATGTGCATGGGCGCTGTTTCTTGCTGTTGATTCATTCTTATGGCTGACGTAACACGAATGACTAAGTTGCTCTTTACCAGTAACGCTAGCGAAGATTCAGTGTTGCTTGTCTGACTACCAGATAAACTCGTCTGCTGCTCCATCAAATTTATATCCACGACCAAAATGAGCTACACTTCACGCTACTCAAGTTCGTACAGTAGCCGTTACACTGATTCTGGCCGAGATCCTTCCAGCCGCTATGGAGGCTACTCCAGCCGATACTCTACCGGTAAAGACTTAACCGGTAGTGACGAATATTCTTCACCGCGTGAATCAAAATATGCTTCCAGCTATAGAACGAGTAGGTGCCGTTTGAAGTTCGTTTAGATTTTCTTGTAAACGAAAACAAAATAGCTGTGTTTTCATTTTCAATATATTTTTAAGAGACTTATGACACATCGGAAGACGTTGACGTTGGTAAGAAATTGGCCGAGGATGAGGGCGATTCCATCGGAGGCTACTCTTCTAGTCGCTATGGTAAATATTCTAGCCGATATGCATCCGCCACAGACGAGACCGGTAGTGACGACTACATCGGCAAACGTGAATCGAAATACTCATCAAGTTACAGATCAAGTGAGTTTTACCAAAGTCCTACTAAACTGTTTATATTACTAATGCTATACCCCGCGACCTACTTCAAGTAGTTTTCTTTTGTTTTTCTTCTTAAAGAGTACCGCGACACATCGGATGATGTGGATGTAGACGTAACAAAGAGAAAAATCGCGGATGATTACGAACGTGACTATTCTGAAAAAATTCGTGGGTTTCTTCTGTTCTTCTGTTATCAAGGGATCCCATAAATAGTGAATCACCTCCCGTTTATTTCCGTAAGAATTCTAAGCAAAGGTTGAAGGTATGAAACATTCCTTGAGTAGTGGCTGCTGCAATGGTACAATTGACAATTAGCCAGGTAACTTGCACTCTGCTTTTCGTAGCTACAACCCTAATTTTTTTGAAAACCTATTTTAGTGCCCTTTTGTCATGATGTGTTAGATGGCAAAGGTTCTGTCAGAAAAAGGGTGAAAGCATGCTCTCTCAAACCTGATGCAGAGCTGCTACGTGCTCTCCTGGCTGGTTTTTTTCTTTTACTAGAAGGTATCCACGTCCCAGCCACTCAAGTTGGTGGTCGGGACGTGGATACCCAACCACTCAATTCGTGCTTCTGCCAACGCTGTCTAAAATGATTCTGGGCGAACTAACCTCTATTAAGCAATTCGGATGTGTTAATATGACAATACTGGAACATGCTTTGAGTTTTGAATATATGGAAGTATAAGAAGGATTCTAGGCAAACTTTCCTGCGAAGTTCATTTCTCACACGCATTGAGTCCTCCTGAACTCCAGACACGTGTTGTCCTGTTGGTTTCTCTGCTTCTACTGAAACCTATGCAATATTTTTCTCTGATGAGCAGTCGGTGTTAAGAGCTAACTAATCCACAAGCGGGAGTAGCTTAGCTACAATGATAAGTTCTGAGATCAAAGCTTGACGTCCTTTACATTCGATAATTTTGAGTTGTTGCTAAAATACGAGATGGGCTTTGCGCTGAGATTAGCCCACAAAAATACCGGATTGAGGGCGACAAGGGCAAAAGTTTGATGAAAAGTCCTTCAACTACTTTTTTCGGTCTGCTCGACTCCATCTCACATAAAACACCCATAAAAAACGAAAAACTCTCGGCCCGATAACTTTCATTCAGCTCGGCCGTTCAGCCTTAAACTGGTGCCATCGAACGACCATCTACTCTGCTCTTCAGCACTTTCTTGTGAAGTAACTTGAACTAACATGACATGATCTCAGAACGCACGTCCTCCTCCTTCTCCTAAAATCAGAAGTGCTAAGAATTCCATAAGAAAGGCGGCGACCAGCCTGCGCGCAGACAATATTTTATATATGGTGATGTACGGTTGTAGCAAAGACTTAAGATTAAAATAAAAGAAACAAATCGAAAAATAGTCGAAGTGATTCACTACTTATAGGAAACTCAGTATAGTATATATTTGTATTAATCTTAATATATACATTTTTGTAAAGAGCACGCTTAATCATTACAAGAGATTCAGCAGAAAAATCAAAGGCGAAAGAGATGGTAAAGCAGGAGGATGAAGATGAGGGGGAGGAGCAGGAGCTCGAATATCAAGCTGATACCGATTTGCAACTAGTCCCTGAAGACGCTGAACAATACGGTGGTGATGAGGAAGACACCGCGGTCCAGGAGGTGCAGGTTCTTCGATAGAACTTTTATTAATAGGACACCTCAACTATGAGTATTTAATTTGAACTGTATTTCGAAATCCGCTGGTGAGACTCGTCAGAGTTGTGAAGTGGGCATCAGAACTATCTTGAAGCTTCTTAAGATTTCCAAGGTAGTTCTGATGCCCACCAGTGATTCATTGCGAACCGATGCTGCAGACAATTTAGCGACTGGTCCTGAAATACTAGACAACCACCGAGGGGAATTCTAGGGAGCGGCCATCCCCTTAAAATATTCTCGTACGGGAACCCAACTTTACAAACAAACGTGACCCCTTCAGTGGGATCTGACAGGGAGAGGAAGTAGCAGCGATAACACCTCGAGCGATGTCGCCCTACTAGCGCTACCCAATTCACCTACAAATCATTCCACTGCAATGATGAACTTTCGACATTTAGAGAGAGCGCGCTATGCGAATATTCGATGGCCTACATAGTTGTGCAGGAAGACACGCATTTGCTTCTTTTGTGTACCTGGTCCGATATTATCCTTGTATCTCTATCCAGAATCATGCAGACTAGCTCACTGTCACAGGGAAAGTGTGCAATTGCACAAACCTCCAAATATGCTAATGTAGGAATATGCATATACCCACTATTTTGGAAGGCGAGAAGAGCGTCAAGTGCAGACCACACCACAAGCGATGGCAGCCGAGAAAAAAGTGGCTTCTTGAAATAGGGTGTATGTACCTGTCAATCCTCTATGGACTCCGAAGTAGCGAACTAGGGCTGGGAGGTACAAAATGTGTAGTATATGCACATGCCTATAGGTTCATTTTCATCTCATTTTCTTTTCACTGCAGTATGTTATGTTGAAGTAGACCATTTCCTTAGTCGTATACAGTTAAGAAGATTGTTTTGACAGAGAAAAAAATAAAATCCTCGACGCCGCAGACATGCAGGTTGTGTTTTAGGGCGATGAAGGAGAGGAGGCTGAGGAAGGGGAAGAAGAAACAGTACGATCTCACACGTCATCAGTGTCATCATCAGCGCTCGCGGCCGCCACCGGCGCCCACGCCGAACAAATCGAACAAGAGAAGCCGAAACGTCAAATTGAACAGAAGGTACCATTTTGGGGACTAGAAGCTATTCATAGTTGAATCTAATAGCTTATCAAATTTCGGTCATCGAACATTTTCTATATACTGACGACTCTCTAAGGAAGGTGACGAACATGGTTTTTGTTCCTGGGTTGTGAAATGATTTGAGCCCTATTTCAACTGCATATCAATGTCACAATGAAATGCCTTAATATGAGGTTGTCGGAAAGTTTTCAGCCATTTCACTTCTTTTTTCCGAATTTATTTTCTTTTTTTGCATAGTCAAAATACTGCAACTATGTACACAGGGTGGCTGGAATCTATAGGACGCCACGTTTTTGAGGTCAAGGAAACAGAACTCGATTAATAAACTAACCTTACCCAAAGGTGGCTTCATACAAAAGCTCACCGGCGTCGTGGACGCGTTCGCGTGTTAGTGACGCCATACTGACGTCAGAGCGGCTGCGGCGAGAGAACAAGCAAGAGCCTGCACACCATTCCTCAGAAACATTAGGTACTGCAAGCATTGCACTATTCCACTATTACTGCCCCAAAATCTCAAAGTTTCATTTTTCGTCGAAACTTTGCCTATGGGGTAATTCGATGCCCTGATTACGAATATGACATTCATTTTTGATGCTGGCGCCATTTGGCGCCATTTGCACGACGGCTGTTTTCACGAAATTCGGTGTAAACTTGTACAAAGGGGTTATTTGGTGTCCTGATTACGAATATGACATTAGCGCTGTCTAACGCATATTTTCTGCTTTCCTGGGCTCTCTCACTCACACATTGTGCTTAAGACTAAGCTTATTGGAGAAGGAGGACTCCGAGGTGGGTAAACCACGCAGCATGTGACAAAAGTTGAAGTGTGTAATATTAGGGTGAGTCCCCAAGAGCTTAGTGCTGACAGTGACCAACCCAGTGTGAGGGCAGACGAGCAGAAAATAAAAGCCAAATGACGCAAACGTCAAAAATGGATACCATATTCGTAATCAGGACACCAAATAACCCTATGTACAGTTTACACCGAGAACAGCTGTCGTGACAAGTGGCGCCAAATGGCGCCAAATGACACCAGCATCAAAAATGAATGTCATATTCGTAATCAGGGCATCGAATTACCCCAATAGGCAAAGTTTCGACGAAAAATGAAACTTTGAGATTTTGGGGCAGTAATAGTGGAAGTGCCTAAGCATTTATTATAATTTAACTCTACTGTGTAATAAAAGTAGTGGTGTAAGAAGAAATCAAAATCAAAGGTTGAACTTATAGGAATGAAGTTCGCGGTTGTGTACTTCACGCAAGGGTATGACTCTTTCTCGCCTCGATACGGAATACCACAGTTGAAAAAATTCCCAAAAAACTCTTCCCATAACTTATTTCTTTTTTTCTAGCGCGAGGATTGCATTTATACGTAATACTAATTCTTCACTCCCAACACTATTAATTGTATAGGTTTGGGAAATGCTAGCAACCTATTTCCTGTTCGAGCGAAATGTCAATGGCACCGGGTGGTCCATTCGTCGCTCCTGCCACTGCTTCGACGTCATCAGCACGCACTCGCGCAAACGGTACTGGTGTGCTTTTCTCTCCTCCTCCCAAAGATAGAGTTTAGCTCGTTATTATCCCTGACAACTCATGTGCTCTAATTTTGACGATAGTGCTTTGACAGAGGCCTTCTGACGTCCAACGACAGAATCAGCAGTGCGCCGCAGGTAGCCAACGGCGATGTCGTCCCACGTCTTCTGAAGCGCTAACTTCAGAGCATCCACCGGGATACATCAGCCTTTTGAGATCTTGCTCTCTAACACCCCTCATAGAGGTTCATGGGGTTAAAGCACTGGGAGGAAGCAGATCACAATTCCTAGCCCCAGAGAGCAGAGAGGTACGCGTCCAGAACGGCTGTGGTCGATTTGAAAGCATCAGAGAGCCCATTTTCATTGGAGAACAAACGGTCATGGAATAATGCTCATAGATTTAGAACAACATACCGTACCTCAACATCGTCTCTTACAGTCCTTCGAATTAATTTCAACATTTCCTGGAGATGAGCACCAGTGAACCTTCCCTTTTGGACGTTACTTTACCCCAAAGTCAATAATTGCCTCCGATTTTCGCAGAGAGGAAGTGCAATGCAAATTCTTTCATCAGCCAAATCGTAAGAGAGATGCGATACGCCAAGTGCTTGCGAGGAAACTTTGCATTTTATCAGTCGATTTTATTCGGATTGTTCCAATAAAAACCAACCTAGATAGAGTCGGTAAGCTCTTCGGATTAGGGTTGCTTCCCAAGATTTCTGGAAGGATTGGCGGCAGATCCTGAGATTGAAGGCGATGTGACTCAAACTGGCTTCATCGTTGTGAGTACACTTCTTACTGGGCTATCACCCTGATCCTCTGAGTGTGCACAGTTCTTGACTACCCATTTTTCGCTCTCTCAGAGATGTGTTTGAACCTTAAGCATGTTTCGAAGAGTAGAAGAGGGAATGCCGAGTCGCTCTGCAAAGTCGCAACCTCTGACCGTGGGCAGTCGAAAGATAATTGGTCCGTCGAAGAATCATCATAGGAGTTACATGAACTTTGGGCCAAACAACTTGTTGAGCTTCTTACACAGCTCCGAAATTTCCAAAGAGTTTTGAAATCTTTCAAAAATATTCTGTGACAACAAGCGGTCGGGGCCGCCTCCAATGTTTCAGCCACCCTGTATACATATGATTCACATTATCTTCAACCTATTGTCTCTCATTGAGTATCTTGTGGGAGCCGTTTGACGGGAAACCTTAAGGGCAAACCCCGGGATTAACTGTGCTATTAGCGCTTCGTAGTGATAGCTTAGCTGCGGAACGACCTGAAAGTGGAAAGGAAAGCAAGAGAAATCTTTGGAACGCTGAAATTAAGGCCTTAACCTTCAGAAGGTCGGATGTGGTACGATGGCGAGACAGGGCGGTCAAAGAAGACAAAATACGCGAGAGAGCACGTCGTTTGAGAGAGCACGCTGATCTCTACATCAATGCGCGCTGATCTCACCAGCGTTGGAACGGGGTCGATGGTTGCAGGCCCGTAAGGATTAGCGCCCTAACCGCGCAATTTTTGCGACGAAGCTGGAGTGATCTAGGTAGGTACGGACCTTACAATTTCCCTCGTGGTATCCCTCCTACTAGTCGGGCTAATCCCGGGTTTGCCTTTAAAGGAGGAATTCACGATTAGAATGAAGGTCGAAGAAAGGGAAACTGACCTAGTTGAGGGACCCACGGACCTCCTGAGGGTGCGAACTGACGCGCAATTCGCATGGAAAAATTTGACCTCGGCGACCTATCATGCCTCAAAGCTGGCGGGTCCGGCGATCTCCGCCCACCTGATCACTCGCCGTAGTTCAATACGTGGCGAGTGATTAGATAGCTGAGAGAGCGTAGTGTTGAAGAGGGCACAGCGATGAGAGTCGCATCAATGCTCAAATCAACGGGCAAGGAAGGGGTCCCATTTCTCGGGTTCTGGGCCGTTTCTCATGGTTCTTCCTTCTTTCGTGTACCACTCACCATCCCTAGGTTAATTTGAAATGGGTTGCTTTTCATCGTGAATTCGTCCTTTAAGTTTTAGAACGAAGAGCTCGAAGAAGGTCTTCTCGAGAAGGTCCGAATGACAAACTCTCCTTTTATTAGTTGGTTTTTTGAGCAACAGAGGGAGATGGCGGTCTGTTGGAGCCAGGTGTGCTGAACACACTCGATGGTATCAAATATGTCACAGGAAGCTTATAGGCTTTTACTACACATTCTGTGTGATTACCTCAGGCAGATCGATTCCATTTCTCTGTGTTACTGTTCAACAATAGCACTGGAGTTATTCGGTGCCAGCTCCGAGTGAACGAAACACTTGCAGCCTTATGAGCTCTGAAGTTGCCTCCCAGGTGTCGCTTTGAATTTGACGTTGGAATCATTGGCTCTATTCGTTTGAACCTATGGTACTTCCACATACGAAGCTGCTCCGTAGTGCCCCAACTAATTTTCATATCTCTATTTCTTTTCGAGGTAATATTGAGGAGCTGTCAAGCTTTAATAACGTTGGATGGGTTCTATCACTTTTCGTGCATTACACCAAAGATTCTTTTTGAGCTTTGGAAGCGCTGGCCACTTAGTGTCACAAAACGACAAGATTGTTTTTCTCAAATTTCTGGACATCGACCAAACATTTCCCCATCGTTAGGGCCCATCTCCCTCTTGCTGCACCATATCCACTGACGCGCTTTCAGAGTTTACGAAGCTATAAAAGGCATGCTCTTGTGAAAAGGACTTTCCAGAGCTATGTTCTTTTCCAGAGGCTATTGCAGAAACTCTTCGAATAGAGTATTGACCAGCATTCAAACACGTTTGTAGTTGGTGCTCCAAAATATTCCCCTAAGGTTTGCAACATATAAACAATGGCCAAAGAATTTTCCGACAGCCTAAAATTATAAATACAATAGTACGATTCGTTCAACTTCAGCAACATGTTTCGGAGGTCTTTGCAGAATCTCACTCGAAATTGTTCCAGGTGTCCTTCAGAGCTTCCACTGACAATTCTGAACCTCGAGTTGCAAAAAATCCCATCGAAAATATTGTGCCAAAGAGTATGTAGTTGCTTTTATTGAGAAAATCTTTAGATGAATGATTGTGCAGAGTGGGCGGAATTACGGTAAAACTTCCAATTTCGAACTCCAGGGTTTTTAATCTATCTTCTTTATATTTATTGATAACTCACTGTGCAGTCTTCGATTTTGACATGTGAATTTATCAACTCCGGAGTGGATGGCCCTTTATGTTTCTGTGAAAAACTCGTTTGCTAAGACAAGCTGTTTATATGTGTTACATATCCGGACGATATAGTGTCTCCATGAAATTTTCGTCGACTATCATCTTCTTTCACTTCACGAGCAACATTTCGAAGACGCATGCGGTCGAGTCTGTTTGATCCGTAGCTGTCATGGGAGTTGCTGTCAAATGTATTACCTTGCAACATGAGAATAGGCTTCACCGGCATGACAATGTCCAATATTTGACCGGTCGAGCAACCTGAAGGGAAGCCAAAGATGCTAAGGTACATTCGTTGTCTCGATTCCGTAATGGGCTCCATTTGTCGATCGTTTTGTTTTGGAAAAGAAGATGTTCTACTGTTGTGCCAGATTCAAATAAGGAGAGCAACCGGACGAATGTTACCGAAAAACATATTGTGCCATTCAATGGTGGCTTTCGCACAAATTATTGGAGCGGGAATAACGAGTCAAAGACATCTCGGAACCTGCTGCTCATGATGTAGGATTGGACAGTTAGAATGAACTCCAGTTTTCTCAGACTCACTCGATGCTTCAGGTCAGGACACTTCCTTAACACATTGACGACAGCATGGGGATATACAGTAGTGGCCAGAAATTTATGAACAAACGGTTTTTTCATGATTTCTCTTTTGAAAGTCACTGGAACGTCTCCAAATTTGCAACAATTATTAACTACGTGTTTTATGATCCACACAGAAAATTTCAACCTTCAGCTCAAATTTGGGTTTAGAAAATTTTAGATTTTTCGAAATTAATGAAGGCAGGTGAAAGATCACTTGATCCGTTTATTTGATTTAAATAATGTATAACCCAACAGAACAGTCAAGTAAACAGTCACTAACATTAAGCAAGTCTAGCACATTGCCCAGAACTCTCTAAAGTATTGGATACATAAACTGGATTTGAATGCGGGGTCAACTAATGAACTCACTCTCTAGTGGGGTCTCTCTCTGTAGTCCCGTCTTTTCGTGGCTCTTTCATTGACATACGAATTTGTAGGTCCTCCCCTAGTGGTTCTGTAATGTTTGGCTCAAGAGTCTGGCCTGGCTGGTCTTTTAAAAGCACCCCATGCTGTCGAAACCACTCCTGCATGTGAGAGGCCCGATGCTTTGAGTCGCTGCTCTGCTGACAGACAAAGCCAGGTCGTGTGGCAGCCATGTCTACGGATACATAACATCTTCTAGAATCTAAGTCTATACTATTCCTTAGTTCTCAAAGTCTAAGAAGAGCGCTCGCTGTGAAGTGGGTGGGAGTAGAATGTGATTGACTAAGCCTGAAACGAAGGTTGATACAGGTTTCTAAGGTCATCTGGAATGACAAAAACATATTACTGATGCATGACAGCAAGGATACTAGTAATGTACGGCACCACGAGAGGGAACGTTTTGATCCAAAGAATCAGCTGCCAATTGTGAAACTTGGCGGAGGCTTGATAAGGTTGCCTTGGAAAAAAGTGGGACCACGCTACACGACTGAGGTAGCGATGAAGGCAGACGTTTGCTGTCATGTTTTGGAAGGTGTCATGTATCCGTAGGCGTGGCTGCCGCCCGACCTGACTTTGCCTGTCGGCAGAGCAGCGACTCAAAGCATCGGGCCTCTCCGATGCAGGAGTGGTTTCGACAGCATGGGGTGCTTTCAAAATACCAGCCATGACAGACTCTTGACCCAAACATTACAGAACCACTAGGGGAGGACCTACAAACTCGTATGTCAATGAAAGAGCCACGAAAGGACGGGACTACAGAGAGAGACCCTACTAGAGAGTGAGTTCATTAGTTGACCCCGCATTCAAATCCAGTTT